TTCTGTTTCTGCTTCAACTGAGAGATTTTATGAGAGATTTTATTTGTATCTTTTTAATTTACTGTCAATATTTATAATTGTAATGCCTTGTTTGATTGTTTCTATCTTTTGTTCAGTGCTTTGAGTTTCCTTTTGTTTTGACTGCTATACAAATAAACTTGCCTTGCCTATTGCAAAAAGTATGTCTCAACCAGTGAGTGATTCTGCAGAGGTTAATAGGTCAATAGGACTGTAAATGGACGTCATATAAACGTCAATATTTTGGTCATATAAGACGTTGATAGGACGTCGGACCCGACCGGTTCTGTACCACATTGCAACCTTGAATGAACGTCCAGATGACGTTGAAATGACATAGTTTTGACATCTGCTTGCTTAGTGGTAACGACTGAAAACGAACGTCATATAAACGTCAATATTTTGGTCATTTGAGACGTTGATAGGACGTCAGACCCGACCGGTTCCGTACCACATTCAAACCTTGAATTGACGTGCCATCAACGTAACATTTGGAGGTTGAGGTGACGTCGGGAAACGACGTCGAGAAAACTTTCATTCTGCACCCACCAGTGACCTATATTCTACGTCGGACAACGACGTTCAAATTACGTTGATTCAACGTCGGCTTGCTTAGTGGGTTGGAGCTTGGTGATTATTTTAACGCTAGTCCTGTATTCTTTCATGCAGCTAAAATGTAGTGTTAGGAACGACTGACCATAATATGTGTTAAATATGACTTAAATTCCAAATGTCTCTGTGCGTTTGTTGCCTGTCTGTATATTTACTTTCTGTGTGTCACATTTTAGGCCAGCACGTCTCAAATGTCCGATTATGTCTTTCTTTTACTCATGCCGTCTTTCAATGTCTTTTGGTCTCAAAGTGTCCAATGTCTTTTTCTTCTCTTTAACAATCATTTCTTTCTCTTCTTTCAATAATCACTTTCTTTCTTCTTCTTTCAATCACTTTCTTCTCCTTTCGACAACTTTTTCCTTGTCTTTCTTTGTCTCCTTTTTTTTGACGCCACACCGTGTGTGTCAGTGTTAGGTTTCCACCACGTTCCCTTCTCCGAGCACCATACACTCCCCACTCCCCGGTTTGTGCAAAAGTCTGTTTTTTCTCCCTGAGCCGGAGAGGTCTTCTTCCGAGAGTTGGCTGTCCATACAAAAGGAAAGTAGGCTATTGGCTTGTCCCAAAAGCTAGAAGTCGCTAAATGACGTGCATCGCCTTACTTTGCATACTTGGCCCTTTGCCATATAACTGTAACGGGACGCTGTAGGGAGAGAGGAATAAGGTCGTGGGAGAGCCAAAGTGAGTAAAAACACCCTAAATATGTTTAGAACTACAAATGTACAAAAAATAATTTCAACATTAACAACATTTAATGATTTTAATGCTTTGTCTAGATCCACATTACACACATCCAGTTATGTCCTGTAATGATTAACTGTTATACCAGCAAATGTAATCACAGATTGTTATGTAGGGTGAAATTAGCCTGCTCTACCAACCCAACCCTCCCACCTTTATCGGCTTGGGTCCCCGCAAAGTGACCCAAAACACACATCTGGCAGAGTTACCTTAGGTTTATTTTTGCGAAGTTGTTTTTTTTTTTTTCATAGTGGCATAACAAATGTGGCCCCACTACTGAGAGAAAACAGAGTCACGGACAGAGCGGATGGAGTGGGGGGTGTGGGGGGTGGCGGTGGTTAGGAGTGGCCGGGGAGCTTTGGATGTGTGGCTGGTGGTGGAGCTGACGTTCAGTCTGCAGCAGCCTGAAAACTTCCTGTGCTTTTGAGTCTCCTCTCTCTCTCTCTCTCTGAAATCCCGCCCATAGACTGTAAGCTGGGGGACTGCTGCGCAAGGCTACTGTGAGGACCCTGCAGAACAATACGTGCTCACGAGTCTCCAAAAACACCAGATAAGTCGCCAAAACACCAGATAAGTCGCCAATAACACCAGAAAAAGTCGCTAGATTTGTCGCTAGTCGCTTTTTTGAAAAAAAGTCGCTATAGGGGTCGCTATAGGGGTCTGAAAAGTGCTGCAGTCGCTAACGCTGTTGGTCCGTGCTGATCGCCCGAGCGACAAAGAAACAGACGCTAAGTTGTGTAATTACCATCCGAAACAATGATTCATTACAATTCAAACTAAACCTATGAAATAATTCATCTGAACATTTCTAAACATTCAACCATTCTGAAAACCAAATCTGCAGTCCAACTGCCTATCCTACTGCCCCTATTTTTACCAAAAGTATAATGCTCTCTAAGCTCATGTCTAACTTTTATTATCACCAAAATTGTCAGGGGAAAAACATCCTTGATCTAGCCGCCTTGGAGATAAAAAAATAAAAAATAACATAAGGCCTCTTTTAAAATCTAACTTCAAAAGTTCTGTGATCCTATGACTCCCATGTCAGTAACATTATCGTGTGTATAAATGTAATTTTCTACAAACAGTTCTTTCTTCACGCGAGAGAGAGAGACAGACGAGAGGTTACGCGAGCGAGGAGAGAGAGAGAGAGATGCGGATGAGAGGAGAGAGCGAGGGGCAAGGGGAGGAGAGGAGGAGGACACGAACGAGGGGCGGGGAGGGCTCCCCGAACCAAAGGAAGCATGGAGTCTGCAAATACTTGCCTCGTTTTTCTCGTGTACAAGGTTTTAAATCAGTGGTCACCAAGTTTTTCTCCCCGTCCCCACGACACTTTACATTTTATCCTTAAAATACGTGTCACGTAATGGAAAACATTACGATTTGCGTACATGGACTAATAGTCCCCAGCAGACTCTCTTTTTTTTTGTGATTCTCGTGTAAACTATTCTAAACTTCCATGCTCGCATAAGAGAAAAACCTACCAATTACTGATCATATCTTCACCAGTGGAACTCGTTATACTACCGCCAAGAGGCTCTCTTTTTTTCTCATTCCTCAGATCATTATTATCAGGAATCCACATTTTTAACTACTTGGCTTTATTCCTGTTTAATATTAATTGTACCCTTTTTCTTTCCACGCCCCCGGGGGAGTATAGAAGGGTTTTCTTCTCGCTATCACTTCTGACCCTAAAACTTGTCCCTATTTTCTAATCCTCTCTTTATCTAACCACTATGTACCTCATTTGCACTTTAACCCGGTGTGCCTCTTCTGCAACTCTAAACGGTGTTGCCCTCTTTTGCACTCTCAAACCCGTGGCTTTCCTGGATATTCTCTTTTTTTGAGGGGACCAATGCTTCCCTCAAGGTTCAAAAAACGTCGCACACAACCTGACTCTTGTTCTATCGCGTTTTTCCGACTAGAACGCCCGTCCACGGCGGTCGTCTGGCCACGCTGCAGTCCGCCGCGTCCCGAATTCTCTCTCTCTCTTCCCATTTAAAAACACATGTGCAGATTTTCTCAAACGTCACCCGGCTCGCTTCCCTCTTTCGCCCGAGAACGGGAGCAAGAGCGAATTCTCCCGGCCGACGGACCCAGTCTATATCTGAGCTCATCTTGCGTCTTCTTTCTGTATCAAATCCCGTCTCGGTGTCACCCAAATGCCGCCAAATACTTCCCTTTGGCTACGTGTCCACATTGTCAGAATCAGCCTACAAGATTCGCTCCAGTTTCAACCTCTGCATTTTACTTATCTTTCCCACTCCGATAACAGACACATTTCACCAAAAGAAGAGCTCCTAAACTCTGCATGCTGTCCCGCTCTTCTTTACCCTGCGATAACCTACCCCAGAATCAAACCAACAGTTTTATCAGCCGTCGATGCCGTCCATTGTGGGCCGTCTCCCGACTGTCATTTCGGGTGTGCTGCGTTACCGTGTCCACTGGGAGGCGTCAGCATGTCAAAATGCCGTTGGCTGAATCTCCCAGTCTGCCTCAAGCGGTTTGCCAGCAGGTGTTTTGGACTTTCAGCAGACTCTGCTGCTTCCTGGACCTCAGGCCGCACAGTCTGTAGTTCCTTCATTGGCTCCAGCTGTGAATCGTCCCAGACTTGCCCTACAATCACATTGTATAATGGTGCATGGACTCTTGGGTGACTCCACTCTCGCCCCTGCGCTCGAACAGACACTGCAGCATAATGGGGCCCGGCCACAAGTTGCTGCTATCCGCCCTTAAACAAATCCGACAGTAGAGGCTAATTAAAAACCCTCAGAACACAGAAGATGGGTAACTGGATAGGACTGTCAAAACGAAAACTAGCGAAGTGCCAGCCTGCCCTAATGTCTTCATTAACACACAGCTCTGTGAAGTGCTTGAGCTTTGACTTATTAATTGGACATGTTTACGATCAATCTCCTCTTATTTACAAACTTGAATGGTGATTCATGGCTATTCTTCTGTAACCTGCATTCAAGATGCCATAGGTCCAACTATCCCCTGTTTCCCCGCCACAGGTGGCATGCTCGTGCCTGTTTTTAATGGGTAGGATTTAGCTTAACGCTCAACAGAAAGAGTCTTGTAAATGTGCTCAGTGGCTCCGTGGGTACATCACAGGCCTCACAACAAGTCTGTAGCTTTTGCTCCCATCTCAACCAGCCTTTTTTGCATGGAGATTTGAATCCTCTTCCCTTCTGGTGGGTTCCTCTGGGCACTAAGGACTGTTGTTCGCACAGTAAACAAAAACTGGGCAGCCAAAAGGTATTATCGTTTAGCTACTGGAAGTCTGAACCAAACTCAGACCAACATCTTAATATGGGTCCACACGGTCAAGAGGCAAAGGTAAAGTCTAGTTTAAACGCCCAAACGAAATCGAGAATTTGAAACTGTGAAAGTGGGTGGTGAAGGACGTCTGCTAGGCTCATATAACACATTTAGTAATAAGCTGTTGCTCAGCAAATACTTAAGAAATCAAGTCACTAGCTGTTGAACTGTTTATTTTTATGGTTTTATCTTATATTCAGGACCACCTCCTTAAAAGGCAATTCACACACTCTTCAGGACAAAAGTGATTCTTTTAATCTTTCTTTGTTTGTCTGATTTTTCTAATATTGTCTCGTCTTGTTTCTCTGCCATCATGTCTGTAGCACGGGGGGCTGAGGCTTCTCGCCCAACACACCCAGCACAGCTTTCCTCTCAAAATCTACAGCCGCTCATTTATTTACACACACCAACAATTGTGCTCCTTGGAAAACTGGGATATAACAAAAGTACCATTCAAGTTAGACCGAATGTTCATGAAATAGCTCTGTGTGAAAATCATTCCATCAACAATGAGCAGTATTTGCGTATAAATTCATGTTTGTGTTCAAAAGTCCATTGTCTGAACTGAAGTTAACTGCTGACTGTTTTGGGGCGAGTGCTACAGACATGATGGCAGAGAAACAATACGCGACAATATAGAAAAAATGACAATAAGCAAAATAAAAATGAATCACATTAGTCTGAATTGTTTGTGATTGCTATTTAAGGATGTGGTCCTGATAAAAGATACACATAAAATAAACAGTTCAACAGAGGTAGTAGACGTTGATTTCTTAAGTGTATTTTGATATCAACAGCCTATTACTAATGTGTTACATGAGTCCTAGCAGTGTAGCGCCTGTCACCACCACTTTCCACCAGTTTTCACATACATGATTTTCTTTTGGCGTTTATCCCGACTTTTACCTCTTGCCTTCTTGACCCGTGGAACCCATCTTCAATGTTGGTTCTGATTTGGCAGGACTTCAGATCAAAACGATGAATCCTATGGTGGCCAGTTTTAGTTTTATGTGGAAACCGTAGAGTCACATATGTGTAAACCCACCCATACAGGGAAGAGTATTCAAACTCCATTCATAAAAGGCTGTTGAGATGGGACAAAAGCCCTTATAAACCAATCTTGTTGTTAGGCATGTAGTGCTACCCACGGAGCCACTGAGCCACATTTACAAGACTCTTTCTGTTGCGTTAATCTAAATCCTACCATTTTTTAAAACAGGTGAAAGTGCATTCACTGTTGGCTGGGAACAGGGGGTTGGTTGGACCAATGGCATCTTGAATGCAGGATACAGAAGACTCCGCCAATGAATCACCTTTCAACCTATGTAAACCAGTATAATGCAACTTAATAGGGTTTTTTCATGTAACCAGTATAATGCAACTTAATAGTAAAACCAGTACAATGCAACTTAATAGGGTTTTTTCATGTAAACCAGTATAATGCAACTTAATAGGGTTTTGTTTATGTAAACCAGTATAATGCAACTTATGGGATATGTAAACCAGTATTATGCAACTTAATAGGGATTTTTTCCATGTAAACCAGTATAATGCAACTTAATAGGGATTTTTCCTTGTAAACCAGTATAATTACTTAATAGGGTTTTTTTCATGTAAACCAGTATAATGCAACTTAATGGGGGGATTTTTCCATGTAAACCAGTAATTATGCAACTTAATAGGGATTTTTCCATGTAAACCAGTATAATGCAACTTAATAGGGATTTTTACATGTAAACAAGTATAATGCAACTTAATAGGGTTTTTTACATGTAAACCAGTATAATGGAACTTAATAGGGGTTTTTACATGTAAACCAGTATAATGCAACTTAATAAGGATTTTTACATGTAAACCACTATAATGTAACCTAATAGGGGTTTTTACATGTAAACCAGTATAAAGCAACTTAATAGGGATTTGTACATGTAAACCAGTATAATGCAACCTAATAGGGATTTTTCCATGTAAACCAGTATAATGCAACTTAATAGAGATTTTTCCATGTAAACCAGTATAATGCAACTTAATAGGGATTTTTCCATGTAAACCAGTATAATGCAACCTAATAGGGATTTTTCCATGTAAACCAGTATAATGCAACCTAATAGGGATTTTTCCATGTAAAACCAGTATAATGCAACCTAATAGGTTTGCAATACCACCAGACCAAGACCCAAACGAAGATTCAGACCACCACCAGATTGACCATTTCCTTAGTTAAGGAACCAAATTGTTTCAGCGGTGAGGGGATTTTTCAGTTTCAAGGACACTTTCAATACATTCAGTAGTTTCAAGGATTTCAACTGTTTAAGAATTTAACCAGTTTCAAGGATATCATGTTCAAGGATTTCAGGAGTTTCCACACTTTCAACAGTTTCCAGGTTTAAAAAAGTTTCAAGGATTTCAGGAGTTTCAATGTTTCAACAGTTTCAAGGATTTCAGGAGTTTAAAGGTTTCAACAATTTCAAGGACTTCAGGAGTTTCAAATTATCTATCAAAGTATTTTAACAGTTTCAAGGATTTTTTTTAGCAGATTTCAATTAGATCTGTTCCGCGTCATTTTTCAGCTAAGTTTCTAGGTATTCCACCTTCCGCATTAGATCAACAATTTCCACAAGTTATACATCAAAACGTTCCACATGTTTGGGAGATTATTGCTATTACTTTTGGGACTTCAGCGGATTTCCGGTTTTTCCGCAATCGGACAAAAATCGGTCGATTTTCCCATTGACTTATAATGGGCTTCCACAAATTCATAGTTTTCAGAATTTTCTTCAACATTTTCTTGCATTTCTGCATTGAGAATTCTGCATGCATTTTAATAGGCCCATGCATTTTAATTGGAATTCTGCAGCTCTTTCAGGGTTTCAATGATTTTTCAATGATTCAACAGTTTCAATGATTCAACAGTTTCAAGGATTCAACAGTTTCAATGATTCAACAGTTTCAATGATTCAACAGTTTCAAGGACTTCACCAGTTTCAAGGACTTCAGTGTAATCAATAATAGGATTTTTCCATGGTATAATGCAACTTAATAGGGGTTTTTTTACATGTAAACCAGTATAATGCAACTTAATAGGGGTTTTTCCATGTAAACCAGTATAATGCAACTTAATAGGGGTTTTTACATGTAAACCAGTATAATGCAACTTAATGGGGATTTTTCCATGTAAACCAGTATAATGCAACTTAATAGGGGTTTTTACATGTAAACCAGTATAATGCAACTTAATAGGGTTTTTTCCATGTAAACCAGTATAATGCAACTTAATAGGGATTTTTCCATGTAAACCAGTATAATGCAACTTAATAGGGATTTTTCCATGTAAACCAGTATAATGCAACTTAATAGGGTTTTTTTCATGTAAACCAGTATAATGCAACTTAATGGGGATTTTTCCATGTAAACCAGTATAATGCAACTTAATAGGGTTTTTTTTACATGTAAACCAGTATAATGCAACTTAATAGGGTTTTTTACATGTAAACCAGTATAATGGAACTTAATAGGGTTTTTTACATGTAAACCAGTATAATGGAACTTAATAGGGGTTTTTACATGTAAACCAGTATAATGGAACTTAATAGGGGTTTTTACATGTAAACCAGTATAATGCAACTTAATAGGGATTTTTACATGTAAACCAGTATAATGCAACTTAATAGGGATTTTTCCATGTAAACCAGTATAATGCAACTTAATAGGGTTTTTTACATGTAAACCAGTATAATGCAACTTAATGGGGATTTTTCCATGTAAACCAGTATAATGCAACTTAATAGGGGTTTTTACATGTAAACCAGTATAAAGGATAACAGTTTAAAGGATATCAGGAGCTTCAAATACTTCAGGAGTTTCAAAGATGTTTAAAGTATTTTAACAGTTTCAAGGATTTCAAGGATTTTTCAGCTAAATTCCACATTAGATCTGTTCCGCAGTCAATCGCAATGGCTTCAGCCATTGCAAGTTTCTAGTTTTTTCTGAAAACTCACAAGTTGTGGAAGCTGAACATGCACAAACTGCAGAAAATGCTGAAAATGTTGAAGAAAATTCTGAAAACTATGAATTTGTGGAAGCCCCATTATAAGTCAATGGGAAAAATCGACCGATTTTTGTCCGATTGCGGAAAAACCGGAAATCGCTGAAGTCCCAAAAGTAATAGCAATAATCTCCCAAACATGTGGAACGTTTTGATGTATAACTTGTGGAAATTGTTGAAAATGTGAAAGCTGTGAAACGTGTCAAAAATCAGGAAAAAGACGGAATAAAGAACACCAAAACCAATGGTTGACTGCGGAAGGTTCCGCATTCAATCAATTACTTTTTCAAAGTAACGTGCCCAACACTGCTGGGCAGTAGTGACAGGGGAGGGGCACATACCAGCAGCAGAGGGGGCAGACTCGGTGCGCACAAACAGCCCAGCAGGATCCACGCTGGGTCTCTGGCTCCGCTCCCATCTCTTCAGCAGCTCATCCAGGAAGTGTCTCTTCCTGCCGTCAGTTCCCTGAAGCAGATCTCCCACATACTCCTCCAGCTCCTCGCGGTTCTCGATCGTCAGGATGTATCTGAGAAACAGAACCACAAAACCACAGCATGACACGTTTGTCCTTCATCTCATTTTATTCAGACAAACGTCAACTTTGATTTGGGTGTTTTGGTCCTTCTTGGTCAAAATCAAGTATAAAAGAGCTAAAATATGTCTTTAATCCATGTGGTGTGTGTGACTAGATAAAAATGCACCAAGAAAACTAAATCTAATAGAAGTCAGACTGCTTTTGGTTCTTTGGGTCCCATGATCATTTGTAATGTTCTTTTTGATTATGTTTGAATTCACACATTCCTGTGGCTCATTGTAGACTTTAAAGTAGCTATGCTTGGATCATACCAGAGGATATATGTGACATGTATGCCATATGAACAAACTTGGCCTCTGAGGAGCACAGGGACTGTCCTCCTGCAGGTCCTAGAGTCTAGACTAAACATGGGGAGGCAGCATTTCAGATTTGTCCAAGCTAAGGCCCTCTGAGGCATTCTGTGTGGCCCTCTACTTTGCTAAAACAGTGTTGCCAATGAGATCATAAACATAAGCTCAGAACCTCTGGAATCCAGTCATTGACTTCATTTCTATGTGTTGACATTTGTTTTTAATTCTCTCATGATTACTGGACTCTTGATGGGACTCTGGGGAGCACAGGGACTGGCCTCCTGCTGGAGCTACACATGGGGAGTCAGCGTTTCATATTTATGCAGGTAACATCTGGAACACAGCTGAATCCTGATAAAGTTGAACTGATATAATGTGTTATGTATTTTCTTATTTGTGTGAAGAATTTGACCATATAAGGAGACACGTCACTTTGAGAAGCCTGTTTCCTGTCACGTCCGTTCAGCGCCTTGGATTCTCTTAAACGTGTTCTTTTCTTACTTGACGATGTCTTCGCAGGCCTCCAGCCCGAACCTGTGGTGCAGCTGCTCCACACACCACTGGAACAAACTCTCAGACATGTTGCTGCTGTCAGAATCAGCTGGGCGCACGCGGACACAAAACAAAGCTACACACGACACCCGCTTAATTCGTCCGTAAGGAACCTGAACCTTAGCGTCAAAGGTTCCGCCTTCCAAAAAAACAGGATCATTTCATTATTCTTACACCGATGTTTGATTATGGTTATTTGCGTTTTCATTACTCTGTGTAGTGACTATTTGTCCAAAAATAGACTATCAAACAAAATGTAACCAAACTTAAGAACATACAAACTCAAATAATCACTAGAATGCACCATGGGTAAGTGGTTTACGCAGTACAAAAAATAAACAAATGTCCATTCCAAAAATGTGAAGTTCAAAACAGGTTTATTTATCAGGTTGCAGGCAAACAACACTAAAATGCTGCATCTCCACGAACTGGTAAAAAACCATAGGCCCAGCCAGGTGCATGAAGGCCCTCCCTGTACTGCCCCCTTTAATCCCCTAGGTGCCACTAAACTAAAACTAAACCAAACTGAAGTAAACCCAATACAATCTACAAAAATATCTAAATTACCAAAAAATACAAAAATTACTTCAGGAAAAAAATAACTAAATATAGAAAAATATACAAAACCTCCAAATAAATTAAATTAATCAAGCCACCAAGCAAATAGCTCCTACACCCTGTTTCTGTTACATGTATTGGCGAAAACTGTCCACTATGGGGCGCAACAGAAGCGACTAACACTAAACAAAATGTAACCAAACTTATAACATACAAACTGAAATAATCACTAGAATGAACCATGGGTCCGTGGTTTATGCAAAATAACGAATGTCCAGTCAAAAATATTAAGTTCAAAAGGTTTATTTTAAGGTTCTATTTAAGTTGCAGGCAAAAAAAAAAGAATTGCTGCATCTCCATGAACTGGTAAAAACCATATGCCCCAGGACCATGAAGACTGTACTGCCCCCATTTATCCCCTAGGTGCCACTACACTAAACTGAAGTAAACCCAATTTGATCTAATCTGCAAACATGTCTAAATTACCCAAAAAAGTCCAGGACCAGAATCTTGAGAAAACGGGCTTCAACCCATAGAATATTGGTTGCCAGATATTTTAAAGCTTGTGTACTCAAAGCTTATGTTTAAATAGCCTGCATGCATCACCTCGAGTAAAATGTTGAGTGGTTTCATCTCACTTGAGTCGTATTTTTGACAGAGTACTTTATTTGACTCTTCAGTTCAGCTGCTTAATGAAAACTGAGGCTGTTTGATGTTTCATAGAAAAAAGTACATTTATTTGAAAAGAAGAAATAACAGGGTCCTTGTAACTGGACACAACGTTAGTGAGTCCATTTACAGACAAAGCCATGTTAGCAGAGTTACACATTCATCTTGATTAGTCTGGTATTATATATAAAGACATATGTAGAGAGTATAGTGTAGCTTTAAAGGTCTGCTCACAGTAACTGATGATTAATATACAGGTTTCTACAATACATTGGCTAATAAGAGTCATATTTCAGCACGATACATATGCGCTATTAATGTACAGTATGATTTCTACTAATTTGCATTTAGAATGTTTTTTGGGTAAAAGAACGAGGTTGCAGAGTGACTGGGTGCTCCCTTAGAGATAGGGGGAGGAGCTCAGTCACATGGAAGGAGCTCGGAGTAGAGCCGCAGCTTCAAGGATCTAGTCAAGATGACTTAGGCATCTGTTTCGGATTCCTCCCTGAACGCCTTAGTGTGTGGGTGGTGAAGTCTGGGCATCTCTGCTCGGACAACTGCCACCGCGACCTGGCAATGGATGAAGCGGAAGAAAATGGATGGTGGTAATTTGCACGTTTTTGACCATGTTACAACAGTTTTCATTCATCAAAAGACGTTTTTAAATTTAAATTTATTCTTTAGAAGTGTTTTTTATTCTTATTTTTATTATCTCTTTTTGACTGTTGCACTGAGCCAAAGCAATTTTCTAGTCTGTGACCTCCTGTTACTTACGTGGCAATAAAAATTATTCTGATTCTGATTCTTTCATACTGCAGACCTAGGTTATTTGATCAATGATGGGTTGACCAATGGGAAAGGTTGACACGTCGTATGGACCCGTGTCAAAATGAAAGGGAATGGAGTACCTACAGATTGTGTGCGTAGGAGGAGAAGCCTGTATAGCCTAATGTGATAGAGAGATTCCCGTACACCGTCTTACTTGCAAATTGATAATAATTTATCAGAAGTGCGACGTTTCGACGTTATGCCTTCATCAAGCAAATATTTGATGAAGGCGTAATGCCGAAACGTCGCACTTCTAATAAATTAAAATTAAAGGGTCAAAATAAACTTTATGGGGCACCCAGAACCCCAGGGTATCTCATCACAATGGCTTGTAGCAAGTTTATAATCCACATGAAACATCCAGTATTTTTTTTTTCTCACACAAGGACAACGTTAGAAAGAGCGGCGCATGCAACATCCCGAACTCTGATGGTGAGCGCTACACTCACCCAAACACGGCTTGTTGCGCTGTCATTACGCAAAATGTAGCCCTTGTGTAACTGTACAGCTTTCTAACCTTCTTGACCTGACCCGCACGGAGCAATGGAGGTCGGAGTGTTCACACAGAACACACCTCGGCAAAAAGACTAGTTTGAAAGGCTGGTTAAATGCCGGGTCCTTCTGACACATGCACCAATGAAGCTGTAACATGGTCAAACATTATAAAAAGTCAATTTTGAACGTTTTTCTCCCCTTTAAGGACAACACTAAAAACAAAAGTTATATCTTGAGTTTAAAAAAAAGTTAGAAAAACACTAGTACTACATGAAATATGCAGTGTTCTAATAAATCCACTCAGTATTAAGTTCACAAACCGATTAGTGATAGGTCTCTCAGTTAGTAACGTCGTATAAAAAGAAAAACATATTATTTTTCCATAATCATGACGTGTGTCACTATTTGTGGTCACATGTTTTAAACAAACAGTCATTTGTGATGTTTAGAGGATCCAGTTGAACACATTTCAATTACCCATAGTGCTTTTGGAGCAGCGCAGACTCGTTCAGATTCCAAATGTTGAGAAAAATCTGCGTTCAAATCCAGTATCACTTCACAAAATGATCAGCGTCTTTACTGATCAGCTTGTCCCTTTAAACATGATCTTGAGAGAAGTAATTAAATGTTTTATATGTCAGAAATGTATGTTGATTCTTACTATGCATTAGTCGATTCTCTGCCTCTCTACTTTTGACTGTTTGCACCGAGAGCCAAAGCATTTTCCTCGTCTGTGACTGTACATGGCGATAAAAGTCATGTTTCAGAATGTGGTATCATTTCTGAAGTAGGCAGGTGATGCATGTTGCTGTTATCCCGTCAGAGCTCTGAGGCTAAGCAGGGCCTCAGTGCTGTGATGGGAGACCTCTGGGAACACCATGTACGGCAGTGGGGCAGCTGTGAATGTAAAGTGAAACACTGTCGCTGTGTCACTAGGCAAGACACTTCACCTACCATCGCCTAGAATGAGTCTGGTGTGTGTGTGTCAGTGTGTGTGTGTGTGTGTCAGTGTGTGTGGGTCGTCTTGACCGGAAGACTTGGGGAAATGGGTGGAGTCCGGTGTGCTCCTGCTTGGTTGGAATGAAAACCTGCAGCCACACCGGCCCTTTCTGGATCTAGTTTAACACCCCTGTCTCAGAAAGAAAGGAGGAAGAAATTAAATGTACGGCACAATTACTACATAATTTGCCAAACTTTTTTTTTTTTTTTTTTACAGCAAAGATGAGTTTCAAGAATATTCATGTTCTGAAATATGAATTGTTCAATGAAATGTTTGCCAAAAACATCCAATCTGGCAGAATCATTTTCAATATTTGCACTCCCTAACAATGTCTAATGTGTAATATGGGTATCTTTTCAAACAGCCCGAGAGCCTACACACATATGCGGCCTACACACGGTTCTTTCTAATTCTTGACCAGGTCTTTGGAGATGGCGTCCGCAAATTTGGGAGCGGACATGAGGATGCAGATGGTGCAGAGGATGGTGACGAAGGAGAAGGCCACGAGACAGAGGCGGTCGATGACGGACGCAGCGAACTTCCACTCGTTACACACCGTTCCCTGCTCGTCGTTGTCCCGGAAGCGCTTGGTGATGTATCTCAGCTCGTCCTGGATCTTGTTCAGTTCTGGATCTCCAGACTGGGGCGGCCTGCACAGAGAGCAGATGTTTTCAGAGTATTTTTGTGGGATATGTGTCACTTTTGCTTCATCTAAGGCAGTATTTATCAAACTGGTTTATGTGTGGTGAACCTCTCCTGTCTCAGTATACATGCAGACCTCTCTTGTCTCAGTATACATACAGACCTCTCTTGTCTCAGTATACATACAGACCTCTCTGTCTCAGTATACATGCAGACTCAGACCACTCCTGTCCAAGTCATAGACTGTATGTATTAACGAACGTAGTCACGCCTATCTCTGCCGTTCTAACTAATGGGCCAAAAATTGGGCTTTCATGGAGTGATTAATGGCTAATTCTTATTCGGGTTAAGGCTATGCTCACACTCAGAGAGCAGCCGTCCTCCTGTGGACTCACCACCTGCAGAGGGTCAGTGAGGGGCTGGTGCTATGAGACTTGGGTGGCATCTCTGACTGTCACCCCCCTGACCCAGAAATGGATTAAAGGGTAGAAAATGGATGGATGGATCTTATTCGGGTCCACCCCCATCGGCCCGGGGTGGTATTGCAAGCATGTCAGCGCACGTCATTTTGGCCACTTTTGAGCCGGGACCCGCCCCCACTGGTTAAAGTACACATTTAGACCTCTCTTGTCTCAGTATACATGCAGACCTCTCTTGTCTCAGTACACATGCAGTGTCCCCCTTTTCAATTTTCCCTAGCTATTAATATTGCAATAGGCCTATTTCTTGTCAGAAAATATAGATTTAACTTGAAAAAAAAATGATTGAGGTGTCTCACATTTAGGTGTCTCACACTTTACATGTAATCCCATGAATTAATAATTAACTAAAAACATGTCTCTATCAAATAATGAAACAATATTTTTTACATACTTGACACTCATGACTCCGGAGTCTGGGGAGGTGGCAGCAGTGAAGTTGGGGTTGTTGTTGTAGGCTCCCAGTGTGGGGTGGGCAGTCTCCATGCCTTTGAGGGGGCAGCTAGAGCCAGACTTGTCCTCCCCAGGACGCTTCATCCACAGGAACCGTGCACACCAGTTCAGCAGAAACACGCGGATCTGGGGGGAGGAGGGCCCACATCAACATACAGAGCATACGGACTCTAGACGAGGAGAATATTTAGGCCCTGTTTTGCCGGAGACGCTGCAAAGCAATTCGCAAAAACGACCACGCTCCTTATTCAAGTACACAGTGTCTACACGACGACGGAAAAGGATGCTGTTCTAGCGTCCGGACAGTAGGGGGCAGTGGAACGTTACAACACAACACCCGTGACTCCCAGCAGTATAACTACTTCCTCGACAACATCCTCCTCAGGCCGCCGCAAAAGACGTGAAAGAACCAACATAATTCTGCATTTAACAGCAGCAGTGAAAATGGAATCTGAAACTACAGCTGCGGTTTTGTTTGGACCAAGGAGTAGAATTCTCCTCCAGGTGGCGCTAGAGGCACACGAGGTATTAGTCGACCCGCCGCCTTTGATGTTTACGTTTGTTCTCTGCTACTGCACATGTCCAAATGTACGTGGGCGAAGTGAGAGGTCAGAGCAGCAGAGAATTCACACATTTTTCTTCACCTCAGCCGTGAAACACCGTCTTCATGTAAACGAAAGGTCAAACCGACACCAACTCTTACTTACTTACTTACACTGGTCTCAAATTCATTTTGGTCGGGGCCAAGTTTAACAAAAACAACAAACTTTTTTATTTGTGTATAATCATGTATTAATATTATTTTCTTGTAGGTTTTGGATTCAACGACAAAATATGTAATAGAAGATTCCTCGTTAAACATGAAAAAACCTAACTTAACTTCTAATTACACGTTAGTTAACCTTTTAGAACAAATTCAAATATCAGCATTTCGGGGGCCACTAAAAATGGTCACGTGGGTAGTGGGTTTGACAGGCCTGGAAAATTAATGGATAAACGTGACAAACTTAATGATCGATGATTACAATGAGAAACAATCCCATCATGTGGTAGAAATGAGTTTGGATGGGAGATATACTTTCTGTTTTATTTTTATTTTTATTTTATTCTTTTTGTTTTCTTTCTTTATTTTCATTTGATTTAATGGGAAGATATACTTTATGGACGATAAAGCACATCTGTATAAGCCGCACCACTTAATATTTCAAATCTATTGAGTCCGCATATAGGCCACATTTGATTGTAAGCCGCAGGTTTTCATGTTGTAACGTAGCAGAGAGACGACTGTTTTTGACCGGACACAACAAGATTTAATGACGAGGTGTTGAACAGCTTGATTTTGGCAATAAACAGGTTTTTTCGATAGCTACTGAAACTTCATGGAGTCAAAATGATAAGTCCATAACGAATCTACCACATTAAAAATACAAATTTTAGCCCATCGCATTATAAGCCGAGGAATTAAAGAAGTAGAGAAAAGTAGTGGCTTATAGTCCAGACAGACCATGGTATGAGGAGAAGTCAGACACTCACCCAGTTGGGCATCTTGCTTCCGTTGGGGTCATGGTGGTGGCACTGTAAGACCAGCACTGTGGCGATCACCGACAGACCCACGATGACCATGGTGGTGGCAAAGTACTGAGCTGAAACAAAGGAAGATGTCGCCACATTTACAGCTAGCTAAGAAACTTAGCAGCTACTTACAGTATATTGTATATTCCAATGGTGTAGGTTTGGTTCCAATCTTGGTGGGGACATTCACTACGACCTGAGTCTACACCCATTGACACGGGGTCCAGAGTTTCTCCCCCAGAATTTGTTGTGTAATCACACACTATATTTGCAATAGTGTGTTGCCTTCTATACTAAACTCAGCTGTAGACTGAATGAGAAGCAGTTAAGGATTTTTTCTAATAGTTAAAACAAAATCAATTGGATCAGAGCTTCTGAGTTTTGTGTTGCGTTCATTCTATACTGACTTAAACCTAATCCAAATCTACATAATAGCCCTCACCTGAGGCTCTAACAGTTCAGGAACTGCTCTCGATACTTGAAATAAATCATGCTCTGATCTTTCAATTTCCTATAATAAATAAAAACAGAGGAGAAAATATTGAATTAGAATCTACAGTGAGTAGCTTACTACATTGTTTGACATATACGATCAATCTCTAAAAACAATTCATAGTCCCATGCATACCTACAAAATTCCAACCTCACCTGATGCACTGAAGGGCCTGTTGCTTCTACCTCAACATTCCCTATATTGTTCTCTCTTGTTGGTTGAGTTTCCTATGTATGTTAACAGAAGATTAATCATCACAATTCATAATTTGCTATTACTTGTGCTTTCTCTTACTTACTTTCCAACTGTTAAAAAAGCTCCTGATATCTTTTATCTTTTTTTGTGGAGGTGGCATTTTTTCTAAATTATATAAGAAGGTATAGACAATCAAAAACAGACATTCATATACATGAACTGCAGAATCATTTATATAACTTGGCCGATGTCAAAAGTTACATAGTATTTCTCAATACAATGAGTTAACAAGAGTTTGGCAATAAGTAACAGTGTGGATTTTTCTATATTTTCTTTTTTTTTATTCCATTCTCAACCCAAAAAGGCAAGTAATGACTCACAGGGCTCTCAAGTATGCAAAATAAAAACTTAAATGACCTGTTGTGGTGTGTTTTGCGCACAACCAGCATGCATCGTTAACACTCTCACAGACACACACAGACACACACACACTTTCCCCCTCTCCATACGTAACATCCACACGCATCATCTCTCCCCTCTGTTACCGTCAAAGTTGCACACTGGCGCGGGTCAGAACTACATTGGAGCTTACATTTACACACACACACATATACACACACACACATATACACACACATACACATACACACACACACATACACATACACACACACATACCGGTCTGTTGCGCTCCTCTGTGTCACGGAGCCCAAAGGATTCGCGCAAATACGCGGCTCCAGTCAAACCACATGGAACATGTTTGTGTTTATGGTCCTCGGGATCAGCTCCACACACATCACTTGTATTTAAACTTTTGTGAAGACCTTTGAGACGCGGCGCGTCACTCGCTGCTCTGACCATGTGAACGAGCCGTCGTTTGCTGCTAGAAAGTTTTGGTATTAACCCGCAGCACAGCAGAATGGGAAGATTAAAAAAGCAGTTCTCTGTGCGCAAAGGTGCCGGAGCTGTTGTGGGTTTTGGCGCCGCTGTCTCGGCTCTGATCCAGTAGAACGCAGAGCTGCACTTATGAAAAGTACGCGGCTCGAAATGGCTGTTATTTCAAAGAACGTGGACTATTTTAAACTACGCGGTTAACCGGTTTCAACCGGTTAATGAGGCTCGGTGGTCGGTCATGAAAATTCATAGTTTTTTACATCCCTACTTTCAACCAACCTGTTTCTTTATTGGAGCCAGTTCTGTTCTGTCTCTGTATGCCGTGTGAGCTCCCGTGTGAGCTCCTCGGAACATTAAACAGTGTCCCCATGGTCCCCACGCAAACCTACGCCCTTGGTATATTCTATGTGCTCCCATGTGTGCAACATTGACATTTCCCCACTGTGTGACAAATAAAGGATGGCTGCTGGGATCATTCTGTGGCTTAGGTTCAGCTGTCCGGCTAAACAATAATTTTAGTGTGTAAACAAGGGTGGAATGAGAATTTCTGGTGTGTAAACTATTGCTGCAGCAATGACAACGGTCTGATTTGTTTGTGTGAGCTGCCAATCACAGCCCAGACCAAGCCCCAACTCTTAGCCCCCTTTCTTGTCCCTTGGTCCTCCAGGCAACCCCCTTTTTAGTGAGAATTTACAAATGTTCAAGTGGGCGGAGTTGGGCACTGGTGTTTAGTTGTCCTATAAGTACACATTCTCACCATGGTGTTACCTATTGTGCTCACCTATCAAAGGTACAGAGTCTGAGGTGGCGGGCATGGTGTCTGCCACCAGCAGCATGAAGACAGACAGGGAGAGCAGCACCGTGATGCCTGCACACAACACACAACATTTCACATTTTACACACACTTTGATGGGTGAGGGTAGAGAGAATAGAAAAAAAAACAAAAACACAATTCATCATGAAATCTTGCAGATGGTACATAAACATAAAACCAATGTGAAACATAGATTTTGTGTGCAGAGGTTAGTGAGTCTGTATGTACTGTATACTGAGACAAGAGAGGTCTATATACTGAGACCATACACTGTATATATTAACGGACAGAGTCACGTCTATCTCCGCCGTTCTAACTAATGGGCCAAAAAATGCACTCTACTGGAGCTATCCAAAATGGCCGCAAGTGGTCCCGCCCACAAGAAAGTTGTGACAAAACGCATCTGTGCATGCGTCAGCCGGCGAGAGCTCCATTTATTTGAACGAGAGACTTAAAAAATTCACAGCAAGTAAACTAGAGTGGTCCAAAAGAATTCACCCCCCTCAGCATTGACACACATGTGGAACGGAGCTTTGGGCCAAGAGCCAACTTTTGGACCATCCTGTAAAGACGTTTTCGAGAGGTCTGCCAATGCTATATGTTAGCATTGGCTAATTCTACTTCTGGGTCCACCCCCATCGGCCCGGGGTGGTATTGCAGCATGTCAGTGCACATCATTTTGGCCACTTTTGTAACACGTTTCAATAGTAATGTAATTATTGTCATGTTTAGCTTTTTGCTGTAATGCGGTAGTGTAAGGCATTTAAAAAAGGGTCAGTACATTGCATTTTAACCTAAAATGAAATTGTATTTTGTTTTTATACTATGCCATTGCGAGATAGACAGAGCAGAAAAAATCTGCCCCAATAATAGCCACCTAGTTTTATTTCCTGTCTGGTAGAAGATGGCTGAAGATGAAGCTGGGTCAGGGTTTCGACAATAGTACATTTTCAAGATGGGCTCACTCATTTTTTAAAGTTTGTTGGAGGCAAAGATGTGGAAAATAAAAGTTAAGTTTATGTGCAAAACCAAAAGCTCTATCAACCTCCTGTCATAGCATCATAAGCTACATCTAGAATACAATATATTTGGTCAAAATAACTGAAATGTAATGCAGTAGTAGTGTAATGTTTTACAATTCAGATACAGTGATTTTGTAGTTTAACACATTACTTTGAAACAACAGTAAAACATAATGCATTAGGTTTGTGAAGTAACTTGCCCATCACTGTCTCTGTGTGTTTACTGAGACAAAAGTGCTCTGAGCACATAATATAAATATGGCAGAGGGTACAGACCCAGTGAAATCTTCTCCCCAGAGTCAGCAGGCAGCATGAACACCAGCAGGGCCAGGATGGAGATGATGATGCAGGGGAGGAGCAGGTTGAGTCCGTAGTAGATGGTCCGCCTCCGCATGACCACGGTGTAGGTGATGTCCGGGTACGGCTCGGGACAGCACGGGTAGATCCTATCTGTCTTAATCCCAGGAACCTCTGCAATCAAAGTAGAGGAAATGTCCTGCTAATAGGTCTCTCTCGGAGTGTCTGGTGCAGGGGTTTCCAACATGGTCCTCATGGTCCAAGTGAGTCCAGTCTCAACCTGGAGACTTAAGGAAATGGGTGGAGTCTGGTGTGGTCCTGCTTGGTTGGAATAAAAACCCGCAGCCACTCGGCCATATGAGGACCGGACACAGACAATGCAATGATAAAAACCGCATAGAGCATTGGTCCAAGTGGTGGAGGACCAATGTCCACAAATGTTAATAGAAGTTGAAATCCTGCGTAAAATAGAAAAGTAATAAAACAAGAGCTAAACAAGATCTTGAATTGGAAATGAGTGAACATGGAGTGAAAGACTTCTCAGGGTTTAACACAAAAAGACTAAAAGGAAATGTCACCGCTGGAACTCCACTGAGCTTCGGCCGGTTCGTCCCGTGACTTGCGGTGGAGAGCTCTGCCAGTGTTCTGTGTACACTATCACTTGGACTTATTTTAATTGAGTTTTTGTTTCTCCTTTGTTTCTGGAGGACTAACTTTTTTTTTTTTTTTTCCTGGAGCATTTTGGATTTTAGTTACCTTCTTTTTTCTCCCTGGGATTTTTGTTTTATAATAGAAAAATGAACTCTGGAAACGCATTTGGATTCATTTTATTCAAATCGTAACATTAAGTGACTAGACAGACACTTGTTTGGTGGTTTTACTTTTACAAACAAATGATTTTTGTGCCAAGTTAATTTAGCTCCCTCCACAGTCACTCTAGAACAGTAAACAAAGTCTGTTCCTCCCCTCACAGAACGCTCAGTGTTGGCTCTGCTTCAGATCATATACTGTAGAGCTGCAGAGATCTATTTAGACCAGGGGTATCAAACCCAGTTTTGTTGGGGGCCTAATTCAAAGACATAAGAACTGGTTGGGGCCAGAATGACTTTGTAAACATGTTTTTTTTTTTCTTTTTTACATATTTTTAATAGTTTATTGTTATTATCTATGAAGTTGGGATTCAACCACAATTGGCCAAAAATCAAGAATAGATGTATTTGAAGTCTGATAGTTAAATATAGAATCCAATAATTAGAAAACTATAACTTTAACTATACATTTCAGTTAAGATTTTAGAACAGATACACTGATATGGTTGTTTTCCAGAGATAATTGGTTTTTAAATGAAGTATAACATGCCATAGCTGCCAATCACCATCAACTCTACAAGTTACTGTGATAATGATCATTAAAAATCATGGAGCCACTAAAAATGGTCTTGCGGCCGGATTTGACCCACGGGCCTGAGTTTGCTTGATATAGATGATAGCTGGTCTTACCCACGAGGTCCCACTCCCCGTTGGGCGTGTACCCGCTCAGGTCGGCCTCCGTCATGTTCAGGTCCAGGGCCCAGCCGTTGTAAACCCAGGAGCCGAACTTCAGCTCGCAGCGCTGCTCGTCAAACGGGAACCAGCGCACGTCGATCTTACACGTGCTTTTGAAGATGCCTGAGGGCGCAAGACATCACAAATAATCACAAACAATCACACACAAATGATTTCAAAAGAAGAAAAGATTGAAGAAATCGTTGTTGCACAGCTGAGTAAAACTGTTTTTTAACCTGGATTTTTTTGGACATTATCAGAGTAGAAGCCTGTTTCGCATTTTCAGGAAAATTTCAGTTTCATACATTTGAAACGCTGCCTCTTCATGTTTTATCCTCACCTACCAGCAGGAGGCCAGTCCCTGTGCTCCTCAGAGTCCCAGCAGGCCAGTTCTCTGCCCCCTCCCCTCTGTGCCTCCTGCGACCAGGGAGACAGAGAGACCAGGGAGGGACACAGAGAGACCAGGGAGATGGGGAGACCAGGAGACAGAGAAACCAGGGAGAAGGAGAGACAGAGAGACCAGGAAGACAGAGAGACCAGAGAGACAGAGAGACCAGGGATACGGAGAAACCAGGGAGACAGAGAGACCAGGGAGATAGAGCGACCAGGGAGGGAGACAGAGAGACCAGGGAGATGGAGAGACCAGGAGACAGAGAAACCAGGGAGAAGGAGAGACAGAGAGACCAGGAAGACAGAGAGACCAGAGAGACAGAGAGACCAGAGAGACAGAGAGACCAGGGATACGGAGAAACCAGGGAGACAGAGAGACCAGGGAGATAGAGAGACCAGGGAGGGAGACAGAGAGACCAGGGAGATGGAGAGACCAGGAGACAGAGAAACCAGGGAGAAGGAGAGACAGAGAGACCAGGAAGACAGAGAGACCAGAGAGACAGAGAGACCAGAGAGACAGAGAGACCAGGGATAACGGAGAAACCAGGGAGACAGAGAGACCAGGAAGACAGAGAGACCAGAGAGACAGAGAGACCAGAGAGACAGAGAGACCAGGATGGTTTTAGCGTTCAGATTAGAATATTATAGGTGCTCTCGATCCCGCTGTTCACTTTCCACCGTCAAATGTGAACACCACCTCCCGTCAACTGTTGCATCAATTTCAATGTCTTGAAGCACTGTCAGGCCCTTCATAGCCGTGTACTTTCTAGCTCTATTCATTTTGGTACTCCCTCTCAATTCAACAACTCTTTCTCTCATTCTTCAAATAAAAAAAAATAAAAACGCATCTCTTAAGTCTAATGACAACATATTGATACATTTTAAATAAGGCGCGAGAAAACCCCGGACGCGTGGTACTATGACAACGCCGTGGAGCGCCCCTGCGCCATGTATCCCCTATATGCAGCAGAAAGGGCTGTGGTTTAACAAGACTAAAATGCTGATTCTTGTTTCTTTACTTTTTCCAAATCAACAAGCTCACACCGCGCTGCGTGATAAACAACAATACCCATAAAAAGTCATGAAATTTCAACTTACTGCTTTGTTTTGAATACACTAATTACATATAAAAGAGTGGAACGCAGTTGAACCGCTAGGGGCGTCGTCCCTAGTGTTAATGGCAAGTGGCACGCAGACTGCCAAACAATTTCAATGGTAACTTTTTGTTACTTACATGGCAATAAAAACTAGAAACTTGCAATCTAACCATTGCGATTGACTGCGAACAGATCTAATGTGATAATCTCTAAAGAAAAATCCTGAGATGAAATCCTTTAAAGCTTGAAACTTTTAAATACCTTGAATAGATATTTGAACTCCTAAGTCCTGAAATGTGAAACATTGATAGAGACGTTCCAAGTGACTAATTTCCTAGTGAAGACTGGTAAAACATTGAAACTCTTAAATCCTTGAAACTTTTTTAATAACGAAACGGTTTGAAATTGTGAAACTCCTGAAAATCCTTGAACATACCTGATAAAAAGCTGTCAAGAGAGAAACTGATGTTAATAAATTCTTAACATGATTGAAAAATCATATAGAAGACAACTGAATAGAGTGATTGAAATGAGTCACTTAAACTGAAAAAGTCGCCCTCGACAGCTGAGGAACAATTGTTGTTCCCTGATGTAATCTAAGGAAGACCATGGTCTGGAGGTCATAAAATATGGATGCGTTGTGTGGTATGAGTCTTCTGGGTCTTGGTCGGTGGTATAAATCGCAACCTAATATCATATACCACGCAAACCAAGTCCCCAAACAAGACTCAACCACCACCAATATGACCACAGACCAAGTAATCCTTAGGTTAGCATGAACCAAATTGTTTCAGCGGTGAGTGATTTACAGTTTCAAGGACACTTTCAATACATTCAGTAGTTTCAAGATTCAACTGGTAAGAATTTAACCTTTTCAAGGCAACAGGAGTCAAGGATTTCAGGATTTCCACACTTTCACATTTCCAGGTTAAAAAAAGTTTCAAGGATTTCAGGAGTTTCAATGTTCAACAGTTTCAAGGATTTTCAGAGTTTAAAGTTTCAACAATTTCAAGACTTCAGGATTTCAATATCTATCAATAATGTAACAGTTCAAGGCCTTTTTAAAGATTTCAAGAATTTGTAGCAGATTCCACATTAGACTGTTCCGCCTCAATCGAAATGGCTTCAGCCATTGCAAAGTTTCTAGTTTTTATTGGCCATTAAGTATCAAACAAAGTACCACTTTGAAATTTGTTTTGGCAATAGCTCCACTTCCATTAACATAGGACGCCCCTAGCGGTCATCTGACCCACCACTTTAATATCAAATTAGTGTATTCAAAACAAAACCCCAATTAAATTTTTCATACTTTTACGGGTACGTGTTTGTTTATATTTTAGTTTTTGGTTTTTGGAAAAGTAAAAATACAAATTTACACGCATTACTTTCTAAACCACAGCCCTTTCTGCTGCCCCATAGGATAACATGCCAGGGCGACCTGTTGTCATATAACCTTACACGGGGTTTTTCGCGCCTTTTAAAATGTTTCAATTATGTTGTCATTAACCTAAAAGACTTGAGTTTTTTTTTTTTTTATTGAATAGAGAAAGAGTTTTTGATTTGAAGGATACAAAATGAATAGAGCTAAAGTACACATATGAAGCCCTGACAGTGCTTCAAACTTGAAATGAAACATCTGACAGTGAGATGTCACATTTTGATGTGAAAGTGACACGAGAGTGCACCTATAATATCTAAATCTGAACGTAAACCATAAGTGCATTCACCGGCACGGACACTGGATAACCATTGTCTTGTAGAAACCACATTTTTTTCTCGTAGCACCTCCACGGCCGCTCAATGTGGCTGTCATAGGAGGCAGGATCAGGGAGGGGGTGAGCCGAAAGACAATGAGAGTGGAGGGGAGAAGGAGAAGATGGATAGGTAAGGAGCGGGGGAGCGGTCCGAGCTGGAACTGAAAGTGTGAGATAGTTGTAATTGGGACCTTGTTATAGCCTGGCAAGGAATTTGAATATCGAGTGGAGAGAAAGACACAGCTTGAGAAAAACACATCGCCTGAGAGGGACAAAGATATCAATTGACGGTCAAAAGCAGCAATATATTATTCAATCCAATTAAACCGAATTGCGGCGCCCTCAGACCTCCGTACACAAGCAAACCTGCCGTCAGAGAGTTCATTCTGGCACACGATGGTATTCAATCTCATCTCCAATGTTCTAGCCTTCGAGTGTACGGTTGCGATCTTTTATCATCTGTTCCACAACACAACCTCCTTTGTCCAACGGGGCTTCAAGCGTTTGAGCTTTGCGTCTTAATGCACCATAAGCCATTTTTTCCTAACACAATAATATCAGTCCCTCTCCTTGTTCTGCACATAACCCTTTTAAATTCCTTCCATTAGACACTAACCCTTGCTCCATAATGATTCGCATACTACCGCTCACTCCCCTCCCACAACCCTCTCTCTTCTACTCCTCCACCTTTTGTCCACCTTTTTCCCAGGAAAAAAACTCTCATACCCGAGGTACTTTTCCCGCCCCTTCACAATAAGTCTATTTTGATCTGTTTTTATGCTTTGCCTATTCCACAATTTAGACATATGCTAGAAACACCATCAAATTATCACGACACAAATTACCCCTCAATTACACTTACCTCTCGTCTTTCCTCTAGCATCACTCTGGTCTCCATTCGCTCCTGGTTTTGATTTGAACTTTCCTCACTGCTTCTCTTAGAACATTATTCACAACCTTCACACTCTGAATCTCACCGCTTTTTTCCTCACTTCACAACTCCCTAGTTACAATCAGTTTGCCCTCCACAGTTTTCTACAGTTTTAAATATCAAACACCCCACCTTTACTTTTCCAAGAGTACTGACCTGTAAACACAGTAAACGAAAGCTACCCACATTTCAGACATCACTCCCTCATCAATTCCACTCACAGCTCATCCTAAACATGTCTACAGTAGTCCCATTTCGTTTGTCGTCCTTCATTCACGCTTTTCATGAATCACGCACTAGCGTGAAACATATTACTACCTATCGCCACTAGTGGCAGGTAAGTCCGCTTAGCTCTGCCAGCGACTGAAACGCTCAGGCCAATGCGTAGGTTAGCGTGGACCATGGACCATTCCCCCCAATATTTGTGAGGACTAAAAAGTCGCCCACCAAAATGACATATTTCCGTACCCGACGAGACCTTTTTTCACGCCACGCCCCTTCTCGCCATCTTCCGCCTTCTCGAGAAAGCAACTTCCGTTTTCGCGGTAAGTCAATGCAGATCAGACTTCAAAACGGTTAAATATCTCAATATCTTCTGCTTTTTCAGAAAGTCCTTCGGCATGTAGGAGCACTCCGTATGGTCACATTTATTGGAATATTCCCCTAAAAGGTTTGTGTCTTAGAAAATTGGTGGTTTTCAAGGCAAAGGCTAGTTTAGCATCCATTACCTGCACGGCTGTTTCTTTCTGAACACAATCTTATTTTTAAATAATAGTATTGCTGTATAATTCATGAATAAAAGTGTATCTACATATATGATGTTGGGTTTTCTTTTTCTTTTTTTACTAGAATGCATCCAGATAATCTTGCTGTGTGCCTCTTGTGTCTCTAACAAAGAATCACATCCTACTATGTTTCCACGAGTTCCCCATGGATGTTTGTAGACTGCCAGAATGATCTGGGCCATGCGAAGATAGGACCCAAATTTTAAGGTGGAAAATGGCCCAGAGCTCTGCAGTGTTCATTTTGGACCAATACCGCTACACATCCTAAGAGGAGTGAAAGGTCCAAATCTGCCTTCCAAATTTTTTGGAATAAATGGGGTAAGGTGTGTTTCTGTGTGGTTTGTGTCTGTGTCATAATGCACAAAAGGTATCCGAATGATAACTATTGTTTATCTCAAATAATTAGGTGACTTTCAACGTGGCCCTAAGGTTTTTTTTCCCACATAATCATCTGAACATAATTGTAAACATAATTGCAATTTTTATATTTTGTTTGTAAAGGAAAAGTAAGAAGCCAACAAGCGACCGATGTTTAGAGAATTGAAGGGAGTGCGAAGATCTTTGTCGGAAGAATTAGAGAGAGAGGTGGCTGCCACACAAGAACATAGCCAACTGTTTCGGGGAGACATGATTAACACAAAGCATCCTTCACCGGTGAGTATTCATACGCAACTTAGGCACTTAAAGCAAGTTTAAAAAGTTGTCACCTGGCCTCTGGATTAATTTGGTTGAGACAGAAAGTGTAGCAAGCTTAATCCTTCCAAAGAGATGTAAACTTTGGAACATGCTGTCCAGATGACAATTTGATAGAGGATGTTTTTTTGATCAACTCTTGGAATGGATTATAACGATTAATATATTGTTATTCTTTTCTAGGACAATAGACAGGGCTAAATTGCAAAAATTAAACTTGAGCAAAGGTGTTATTCTGAGCGAAACTACATTAACTAAACATTTAAAACTACTCCTCCTTATATACAAAATTTGTGTAGCAGATAGACTTTCGCTATTATTGTCCATTTTTCTTCTATAGAGGTTTTTGAGATATTTTTGGGAGTCTATTCAGCCTCTGCATCCAATCTTGTTTATTGGAGTAAGGCACAGCAATGTCGTATTAAAAAAACCAAGCCCTATGAGAAAGCATCCGCTCATGATGAATATTTTTTTTTCGAGCATGCAAAGGACAACAAACAAGACAGACTAAAGATGCAAATATACAGTTTTTTTTTATAACAACAATCCTGTTCAAAGAAGAGTTTGAAGAAGTTAAAGACTTTTTAACTACCACCCCTTTATTACTAAATAACTTAACTTAAATATTGGTTTTGCTACAGATTGGTTTATCCGTGGTTATTTTTACAATAACATGCACTTGATTGTACGTGTAATGTCTAATATGTTTATATATTAATATTTCCTTAATTCCTATACTCATTCAGTATCAGTCTTTACTCATCCTAACTTTATCAGAATTATCCATATAAATGTAGAATAAGTTTGCTTTTATCATGTTAATTAAAGTAAATGTTAGATTATATAATATTATATAATATAATTGTTTTACATGTGATTACTGGAATATAAAATGGTATTATATATGGGTTATCTGATTCACGCTTGTGTCAGCATGTGCATGGTATTCCACCTCAAAACCACCAAGAATAGGCTTTGGAAAGAGTGCGTTTTACACCACTCTTACAACCTTGGTCTTCATTTGGATTTTTGTTACCACAATATCATGGTAGCCTCGTCTGAAACACTAAAAAATCCACCTAAAAATATTATAATAACAATTTCCAATGAGCTCCACTTTGACATTCAAGTCTACCTGTGTCCTAGCCGAATCCATGATTGCATTTTACTTGTGCAGGAAAGAGGTAAGGCACAGTTTTAAAGCCCAGTGTACGATGTGACCATTTGTAAGAAACCACCAGTATGCACAATCCTTTCGTTCCACGGCACAACGACATGAGATTCCCTGGCACATTGGGATTTTACATGAAGAAGTTATCTGTGATGTGAAAACAATGTGAGTGAGTTTTATAGGCAACAGATTGCTAATTTACTGACCCTCCCTTTCAAAAACCTATTTAGCTACACTCAAAGTAAACCTGAAGATGATAGCTTCCTGTTTTTCTCATTGACCTTACATCTTCCCCTCACAACCGTCCCTGAACTAATTAGAGACTGATGAAAATAATCTTTGTTAGAATGTAAGAATTTCATGCGTAAAAGAAATGTATGATATACAATTTCCTAGCCTTCTCAATATATTATCCAAGCTTAAATTACACTCACCCTGGAATTGAAAATAACCTTCATTAAAAAGGGGTGTAAGCCTTTGTCCAGTTTAGAACATTTGGTCAATAATATTTGTCCATCAATCCTCTGACACACAAATTTTTTTGAAGATTCAAAAGTTATATTGTAAATTCCATCTTAAAATTCTCACGCTGCAAACGAAAAAAGAAAGAAGAATAAATTTAGTTATATAGAAACAACTGTCTCAAAATAACATTCACAATGTAGTACTCTTTTTAACATGTCTCACTACGATATTGATAATATAATGCTTTTCTAATGCAAAAAGAAACAGCCGGCAGGTAACTGGATGCTAACTTATCCTTTAGCTTACAAACCACCGATTTTAACTAAGACACAAACCTTTTATGGAAAATATTCCAATAAATGTACCGTACCGAGTGGCTCCCCTACATACCTGAGGAATTTCCTGAAAAAGCAGAAATATTGAGATTTTCAACTCGTTCTGAAAAGTAATATCCTGTCATGGACTTACCGCAAAACCGAATTGCCTTTCTCGTGAAGGCGAAGATGCGGAAAGGGCGTGCGTAAAAAGGGCCTGTCTTCGTTTGTGCACACGTCCGCGCCTCCTACTCGCCTCCAGAGCAACAGCAGCAGGCACAGCACGTGACCCGTTCCTTCTCTGGCAGTGAATTGCTGTCTTCTTCAGCGCCAAACTGAAGCACGGAGCAGACTGTTTTTAATTTTTAAAGTTAGCCACGGAAGCAATGATTTTCGTTCCCGTCTAGCAGCGTAGTTATCAAGAAAGTACTGTAATCTATTACCATTCAAAGTACATAACTTATTTTCTAATCTGTTCCGCACTGTTTTAATGATCCGAGACTCACACGCACAGAGACTGAACAAACTGGCTCCAATAAAGAAACAGTTGGTTAAAGGCTGATAAATACTTATTGTCTCTTACCAACCAAATTATAAGTGGGTGTGTTGTGTGAATCAATAAACGAGATGAAAAAATTCCACGGATCCACGATTTACAACCTTTATCTCTGATAATGTAATTTCTGTGAAATGTTGACAGCGGGCACTTGCTGTTATTTGCTCTAACACTCTTTAAATTCCAAGCGATGCACTCGAATGTGCCCTCCTGTGCAGCTGCTTGCCGCTTTGTAATGACAGCCGCGGCGTCATGAAAGCCAGCACTAACTGGTACCAGAGCTCGACCATATGCAAACAGAACCATGTTGCAAGGCGGTCTCCCTCGTATCTCCCCCGTTACTCCCCTGTGTCTCTGACATTCTCTCTCCCCTACTCTTTCCCAAAAGCGCAACCAGCGCTCCCGAAAATAAAGCTCAGAACCTAAATTTTCCATTCGTTACCGATGCATCTGGTTGTCGCAAACACACACAAACAGGTCCCATTTACTTTTTATTTTGCCTACTGAGAGCCCTGTGAGTCCATTACTTGCCTTTTTGGTTGAGAGTGGAATAAAAAAAAAGAAAATATAGAAAAATCCCCACCTGTTACTTTATTGCCCAACTCTTGAATCTCATTGTATTGAGAAATACAATGTAACTATTGACTGTGCCAAGTTAGATAAATGATTCTCATCAAGTATATGAAGCTGTTGTTGTTGTGACCTATACTTCTTATATATTTAGAAAAAAGCCACCGCCACAAAAAAAGATAAAAGATATCAGGAGCATTTACAGTTGAAAGTAAGTAAGTAAACACAAGAAATAGCAAATTATGAATTGGAAGATTAATTTACTGTTAACAAACATAGGAAACTCAACCAACAAGAAGAACAATATAGAATGTATAGAAGCAACAGCCCTTCTTGCATCATGAGTTGGTATTTTGTATATGCAGGACTATGAATTTTTTTAGAGAATGAGCGATATGTCAAACAAGTAGGGA